CTTGAAAATCACCTTCCGACATTTCCGATCGGGTTAATTCGGACAAAAATACACCCGAGTACCGGTTCATGTTCATAATATGAACATGAACCGGTACTCAGGTGTATTTTTGTCCGAATTAATCCGATCGGAAATGTCGGAAGGTGATTTTCAAGGCAAAGACCCCAAATGTCAAAAGAAAACTTAGAGCGTGATGAGGAAAATGATGATAATTCTTGGATAAACCCTGATAAACGAAGGGAAATGTTAGATCAAATGTAAACCCCACCAACCTGACCCGTTAAGGGTGCCTCTTTGAGGCATATGTTTTTTTATATAATAGAAATTTTTTATTTGTATGCCGTTTCGGCAATAATATTTATTAAATAAAGAGGGGGTCCACTGGGCTCGTCATGTTTTATTTTTACGCGATTTTTTACAGTGAAATTTGCGATTATTAATTAGTGGAGATAATAGAGTCTTACCTAGTTACTTTTATTCTATGCTTTCACAGTTACTATTTGGATTTCATTCTGATAAGCCTCCCAGCATTTGAGACGATAAGTTTTTGTATTGACATAATCACCACTGCCCCACTTACCCTCTATATTATCTCTTATATTTTCTTTTTTATGATCTTTATTGTATATAGGACAGGATACTGAACAAGTAAAGTAATCGCCATATTTATTACTGTATTTCAATGATAAATGTGAAAAGCGATCTAATACCATTTTGATAATGTGTGCTTGCTTCTTTTTAGGATCATCGGGCAAAGTAAAAATTGGAGGTCGGGTTTTGTTAGATGTACTTATCTGAGATATGGGTGATGTTTCTAGTAATGTTTTCTTGGCTTCCTCACTTACCCTAGTTTCTAGAATTTTTTTTGAAACGATAGAAGTAGATACGTCTTTTGAACTAGATGGTTCCATTACGTGTGCGTGACAATTTGTCACGCCGATCATATCTGTTGATGACTTGGGAAAATCGGTTGAGGTTTTGAATTTGAATATCCTTTAGACTTGAAATAGCACTTGTGCTATAAGTTATTTGACTAATTTTATCAATTCCTACTCCTTCATAAAATATATATACTTTTTTTGCTCTGGAAGTTATTTTTCGCAAGTTTACATCAGTAGTATCAGGAAGGAGTGATTTGATTTCATTATATACTATCGTTCTTGCCGATTGGTCATCAATATTATCCGCAGACTTAATATCACTAACTCGATTTTCGTATGCTTTATAATAAAAATACCAGCACAGACTTTCCTTTTGTCGAATCTTCATTGCTACCCTAAATAGATCAACTATATTTTGCGATGTAACCTTACCAGATCCTGTTAAAATCGCTTCTAAAGAAAATTCGGGAATCTGAATATCAAATACTTTATTAATATTATGGTTATTATCTTTGGTGCAAATAAATAGCTCGAGTCTTAAACCTCGTTCTACTTTTTGACTATAAGGAATTTTCTGATTAAGCAATAGGTTAGTAGGTAATTTAGAATCTGAACTTATTTCTGGAATGTTCAGATTTGATGAATCGTAGCCCGAGACTTTGTTTCTTCCTTACTTACCTCAGTTAATCCTTTGGATTCGTTTCCAATGAATTATTATTCGAAGATAAATCTTGGAATCTAGGCTTCTTTTCCCGGTCTGAAGATAAATTTTCATTTGTATAATTTTTTTCAAGAGATATTTCCTGTATTAAAGCTTCTTCCTTTTTCAGTTTACACAAATCATTGGTTGAAATAATATGGGACACAGAGAGTGAATCCTGTTCATTAGTTATTTCGGTATTGCATGATATATCCGAAGAAATGTTATAGTTATCCGAAGACAAGTCTTGGAATTGGTCTTTATCTGATTCGCGTAGAAGTTTCCTTTCTTTATTACGTTGTCTTATCTCATTACTAACCTTTTCCTTGTTTTTCTCATCTAAAAAATCGATCATCTCTTTATCCTCTAATAATTTGGTGTTAGTATCGATGCATTGATTTATAGCAGGGTCAGGTACATTAACATTCTCAAAAGAATTATCGCCATCTTTTAATCTGTGTACAATATTGTTTTTCAGCTGCTTCTATTCCAATTTCGAAACTCTGGATCTAAGCTCATTAAGTTCAGAATCTCTTAACTTTGAATTCTCTGCATTTTCTTTTGCAGATTGTTCTAATTCTATTATTCTGGCCATGAGTTCCGCTTCCTTAGCCAAGAATACAGTCTTCTCCCTTTTAAGTTCAGTATTCTCAGCTTCAATCTCTGTAAACTTCTTTCTTAATTCATCAATTTTTAGGACAAGCCTGGAATTTATTCTCTTAATGATTCTATTGTAGGTTGCATATCTGCCATTGTTTTATTTAAGACCGTAAAGATAAAAAGTCACGTGCGCGTGACAATTTGTCACGCTGACGCCAAGAAAAATTTTAAAAATTCTCGAACATATGCGAGTAATGTACATCGATATCAATACAATAAATAAATTCACGAAATACACATGCAAAAGTAAATGCGATTATGGATATGAAATCGAGCCAGCTTTATTAATATGATATAAAATAAAATAACAACTATGGTGGAGGGGTAGATACATTTGAACTTTTTTCACTTCCACATGACTTCCTTTTTGGAAGTGCATGAAATATATAGCTCATATTGACGATTATTATATTCTATAAAATGAGAATAAATTAGTTATAAGCAGAAAATAAGAGTAAAAAGTTACTACCTACCCGAAGTATCAACAAAGTGTGTATAAATTCTGCCACTACAACCTCATTAGTTGGTTGAACAGGAATTTCCACCGATTTTAGATGATAATATCTATGCACATCTGCTTCATCTCTGACGAGCACGTTAAGTTTCAAAACATTACCGGCCACCTGAATTCCAATAATCCCAAACTTACCTTTGGCCGGTTTACATTTATTGCGAACCCAATCCATTCCATCATTTGTTTCTCGCCAGAGTTTGATATCATCCTTTTTGTTTTTTTGATCGGTACATACTAAACGTGAGAATTCGGCATATACGAGTTCATATGAAACCTCTTCTCGGTTTAAAATAAACATCATATCCGGTTTTTTCCCCAAATGTCCTTCTCCCTTTCTTTCCGAACTTGCAACGCTCTTCTTCTCCGCCATACTAATATATGAAGATTTTCCGAAGGGAAGATCTTTTAATACAGCTCGAATTGAAGGTGCTATTACATGCGTTACATATGTCCCTTCATTTTGTGATGACCTAAGTTCGGGGGAAAAAGCCGGATTCTTCCAAGATTCGCCTCTAAAAAACAAATCATTAAAAAATATTTTGAAAAAAAATTAATCTTTTGATTACTTACAAGACTTTAAGAACTTCTTCTGCAAGCCCTGAAAGAATATCATTTGATTCTTTCCAAGTCTTATCATGCATTAATATTGGTGGATAATATTCCTGAGGTTCAGTAAACCTCGACACAAATCTTTCACACATTCCTTGAATAAAAGGTAATGTGGAAGGGAGCATTTGACGTTTAGGTTCCTAAGAATACCAGTTTGGGTTAACATTTCCACAAAAAATCGACCAAAATTTAACATAATACTCACCATAAATATATCATAATTTTGAGTTAATTTTTTTACGGCATCAGAGTCATCGCTAATTATTTTGTTAGCGAGATAATCATTCCATTTTAGATCATGGTAAGACACTTTCTTTAGGTTATTATATAATTCTTTATGAAGTAATGAAGGAGAGCTTGAAAGTTTCGATTTCAACTCTGATAAGTTGTTCTTGATTTGTTTTAAACTGAGTTTCTCTTCTTTCTTTGTTTTTATTACACCCATATCGTATAAACTGCATACACCTTCATAAGCAATATCGAACTGTATAAATTCAATTGAATAAAATTGGCCAATCACGAGAAAGTTAGCCTATATAACATAGGCAGGGTCACTAAT